ATAAATAAACCTTTTTAGTTTGTAGCTGTCTGAAACAAGTTGGTTTCCTGATATTGATGATATGGGAAATTGTGAATTGCTGATCATTTTGATGTTGGAACTTCAGGAAACTGGTTGAACCACCATATATAGATTCAGTGGATTGGTCAACATGGCATGTTTTCTGGCTGGATGAGAGAGTTGTTCCCAAGGATCATGTTGACAGTAACTATAAGCTAGCATTTGATGGTTTCCTCTCCAAGGTATAATTTTCAAAGAATTCATATGTCTAAGGTTTTTTGTTACTGAAAGCTTTATATATTTATAATATGTTGTTGTTGATGAATTCTGTTACTTTGAACTATATCGAGAAAGTCCCAGTCTTGCAATGGACCTGTAATGGCATCATTTATTTTATGGTACAAGTTTATGTGCAAAATGCTATTGTTTCATAGATTCATTTCTTTTGCAGTTTTCCAACTTTATTCCCCCAATTCTGTACTGATGCCTTTGCCTTATTGTCATTGCTCATGCATGATACTGTTTGCAAAATCCAACTGTGTAATCAATCTCAATGGTATGTCCAAAATTATTCTGATGTTTCACTGTCTGGGGTATAGTCCCTATGCTTCTACCCTTGTTGCCAGGAGGATGTAAATATGCCTTAAAAAAACATTGAAATATGGAACACATGATTACTTTAGAAATGACTGTTGTTTTGGGTAACCATTTCTGAGTTTCCTTGTTCAATCAAATTTTATGTGGTTGGTAAATTCTGGATGATGTAAGTTGAAAGTAGTGCTTGAGCAATTATGGTACTGATCTTGGCATTGCAGTCTTGATGATGAAGTTTTTTTGTCCAATATGGATCAGTAATTATGTGTTCTTCCCTTTTTGGCCATTGAAGGTAATTGGGTCCTTTTGTTTTCTCCCCTTCAGGTACCAATTCTCCCTGGTAATGTCTATTCTATCAATGATGCACTCTCTGCTGAGGGTGCGGCTGATGATTATGAGATCTGTGTCAAACATTTGGTCAAGAGCAATGTGATTGCGACATCTGAAAGTGGGTTACCAAAGTTTGATCTCATGCTTCTGGGTATGGGGCCAGATGGGCATGTGGCTTCTCTCTTCCCAGGACATCCTCTCCTCAAGGAGAAAGAGAAGTGGGTTACCTTCATCAAGGACTCACCAAAGCCACCTCCAGAGAGAATTACATTTACTTTCCCTGTCATCAACGCATCTGCTCATATTGCACTTGTAATACTCGGTACTGCTGGTGAAGCAGGTCCAGTGCATGCAGCATTAGGAAATAGTCAAAATTCTGATGTGCTCCCCATCCAGATGGTTTCACCTGCAGGGGAACTAGCTTGGTTCTTGGACAAAGAAGCAGCTTCCAAGCTTTAGGGTATGAATGTCCGTAGCCACTTGAGTAGCTTCATCCTACGACATACTATCATGTTTGCTTTCTGCTGTGTTCCTATCAGTGGGTTTGCTGCTGGATTGTGTAAACTCGCTCTTCTTTCTCTATGATGGCAACTAGAGAAAGGATTTTAATAAATTATAAATGGTCCCATATGTGTTCCGTGATATATCTTTAAATTCTATATGTCAAGTGTCCTTATCAATCTTCATCTTTTTTGAGTTATTATCTGCAGAGCCTGAATGGTAAAGTTCTACACCATATCACCCATTAGTGTTTGTAATGTGGTGCTTAAATTTCATTATCAGGCAGTTTCCTGAACACTGAAAATAATCTACGATGTTGAAAATCGGTACCTTAATGGGCTTAAATTTCATTATCAGCAGTTCCTTGTTAGTTAAAGTAACCTAGGATGATGAAACCTCTGTTGGATTCAGTTTATCTCATATGTTCCCTTGTAGTCTCTGATGTAAGCTGATGAGCTTCCAAAGAGATCAGTCAAGATTAGCTTACTTCATTCCTCGTTAGTTGGATAGACGAGTAGATGGTAACGACTAAGTCAGGGTACTTTATTCCTTGTTAATTGGATATATCAGTTTATCTCTCATATGTTCCCTGGGGTCTCTGATGTAAGCTGATGAGCTTCCAAAGAGATCAGTCAAGATTAGCTTTCTTCTTTCCTTGTTAGTTGGATAGACCAGTAGATGGTAACGATAAGTCAGGGAATAAACTCATGAGTGCAAATTACTGCATTCCATGTTAATTGGATGTATCATTTTATCTCGTATGTCCCTTCCCCAGTTGTTCCTGCCATAGCACATGGGTGCAAATTTGGCAATGACATTCTGACTAAAATCTCATAGCTAGGATGCTCTCATTATAAAATGAAAACTCTTGTCTGTATGTGAGTATATTATTATGTATTTCTGTATTGTAATGATGGTATTGGTGTGGGGTTTGGTATCTCTCCCTTTCTTGGAGATCAAACTGGCTTAGATTTCTTAAATTTTTATCTGAGACCTCAAAACTTGTATTGTTCTTGAAGCAAAAGATGCTGACCCCAAGAGGATAATCTTTCCTAAACTCAAAACCTACACCTTCATGCATAAATGAGAAGAAAATATCTACGCATTTATTCATTGGGATCTTTGACTATTTATCCTTTCCCCAAACAAAGCGATATGTATATATTATATTCAGAAACATATGAATAAGGTTCACTCATCTTTGAGAATTAACTGAGACATTCTTCCATTTTCTAGGGACATGATTCTTGAGACATCACCGGCGTGTTGTCGCTGTCTCGTGGCGGACAGAGCTCACTTTTGTACCCTCCCTTAGTTTTTTTGTCTTGAATCACTTTCATAATTATTGTATATGACTGAAAATATAAAGTTCAAGCATGCTATATATTTGTAAAGAGGCCAAGGACACCGCCATTCATGTAAAAGTTCCCTCTCCTTGTTTTGTAGGCAAAAAGGGTAGTCATTGGCCGCCATGCCATTGATACATTTATTAGATTGGTGTTTCTTTGCATTGTTTGTCTGATTTTCTTGTTCTGATTTCTGCGTTGATAACATCCGACATAACAATATTCTATTACTAGATACAAAAATATTATAGTTGAAATATCACGTGACATTATAAGTTTATAATATAATATATTATTATATAATTAATTACTTTCATTTAAGAGTCCATTCATAATATTGTATGTACTATCTCATTTAATGGTATGTCATACTCATTTATTAAGACTATGCTATAATTGAAACTTTATAATTTTATATGGTGTCATAACTATAACATTATTATTATGAGATAACTATCTTCTATTTCTCTTTTTTTCGCATTCAAAATAATAAAAATTCACTTATACATAAGTTTTACACATTATATTTATACAAACTTTTAACTATTCATTTTTCAACTTTTAATGGTAAAAATTTATTTATATTTATTAAAAATAATTATCTTTTTTATCTAAAAAATTATGATAAATCTTAATAATTCAAAAAAAAAAAAAAAAAAACAAAAATTTAAATAAATATAATATGTAAAACTTTTATATAAATAAATCCCTCTTAAAAAAAAAACCCACAAGATTTGTACTTTCAAATCCAAACTAAGATCCAATTTATGGGAGACTACTAATAGTTTCTTTATTACAAAGCTAAGGAATCAATTTTTTTCTTTTGTTACTGTTTATTCGTGATTTATGGAATCAATGATAATATCTTTTCATAAAAATAAGATTAGTAATGGCTCTTTTTTAAAAATAATCTTTGAATTAGTCAAGATGATAGATATATAGGAGTAGTTTATTGGAAGATCCTCCATGGTTCCTTCCAATCCATTCCGCAAAAGAAAAAGAAGCAATCAGACATGTTCTCTAAGTGGTCAAGACACAATGGCCATTCTTTTCATGGGCATCTCCGCATGCTTTTCACACCATATGACATGTTCTTTTATTTACCACGGTCCTCTTCTTTTCCTAACTTTACTCTTTCTTATCTTTTACGGATTGGTCTTGGAGCACTGCGCCTAATTTTGTTGACCAAGTTGATTTCTCTCTTTTTCGTTGATTACCTGAGAAGGTACATGGGAAACCACCCTCTTGGTTGGGGAACCATAGCCACTTTTTTCCTTCCCTCGTGGGTTTGAAGTTGTTCTCAATCTTAGGTTCATTAATTAGTTTGGTATTTCCCTAATAAAAAGAAATATACAATTCATTTTGTATAAATTATATATTTTATAATAATTAATAATAAATAAACCCTTTAATATTACAATGATGTCCTCTATCACAAGTTATAAAACTACACAAATTACAAAACCAATATCTCTTTCCTAATTTTTGTCCCTTTTCCTAACCCACCAAGTTGGCACCGTGTTTTTGGGTCATCTTGATCAGTCTCCACTCCCTCAGATTTTCCCTTGAGCTTTGAAAGATCAAATGGGTTTGTCTCCAATTTAAGTCCCTAAGATTTGATTCTTAAAAGCGGTTTGCTTTAGTTATTGATTCTTGAAAGAGATTTCAAATTGATTAATTTTTTTAATAAGAAAATGTGATGACTTTTCCCTAACAAAATTGAAAGAGTAATCTTTTTCTATTCATGTTTGGACGGAATCAATTTACAAATACTAATTTAAATTAATCTTTGAAATCCATACTAAAGCGACTCGTAGAAAAAAAAACCAAAAAAATTCACAAGAAGTTCTGTTTTGGTTGATGAATCAAAAAACAATTTTATTTATTTATTTAATTTTTTAGTTTATTTGAGGATGGACTGTAGCATATAATAATTCTTCCCTATCCTAAATACTTCCCCGCCCATCTCTATGGAGGAATTCTTAATCATTCCATTGACATCTACTAACAAGACAAAATCATGATCATTGTCTAAATGGAGCGCCCCTTTTTTTACTCAATTTGACCAATTTCTTAAGGACCCAAAATAAAAAAATCATACCCATTAGAGCCTAATGAGGAGAATTAGTTGGTTGGCTAGGAAAAGACTCATGGAGTATATGCTTTCTTGAGGATACTAGTTGTTATAACTTGACCCTTAAGCTAAATTTTAAAAGAAATGAGGCTCTTTGATTAAGTAAGTTTGTTTTGTTGTGTTTGATTAAGATTTGTGTGCAAAGAAAGTGAAAAATAAAAGGTTTGTGGTAAATGAATCATTGCAATAATTGAAAAGAATGGCACACAATGGGAAATCACCAAATGTTTGGTGAACTTTACTCAAATTGTCTTCATAAAATGAATGAAATTATTTCTGTCCAAATCATTGTTTTCCTAATCTTTGTTTTTTATAGGCACAAAACACATAATACAAAACAATTATAATGACACTTTAGTGATTATAGCTATGGTGATGCGCGGTTCCTGAGGTGAAGTTTGTCTTAACTAGAGTTTTCTATGGCTCTCTTCCCTCTTATGGCATAAGGTGATGCATTTGGTGAAGCAAATTAATAAAAAAATATAGTGTATATTTGTCTTTATTTTAAAAAAAAAAAAATTATTGTTTGATTAATATTTTGAAAAGTTATTATTCTATCACTTTTAGAATCTTATTTTAAAAAATAAATAAAATTCATATTCTTTCATTATAATTTCATTTTAAATTAGAATTTAATACAAGACAAAAGTGAAAATCTAAACTTCCTAACATTTTAAGTGGCAAGATTTCTCATGAAATTATTCAAATATTTTTATTAAAATATTTTTTCATATATTAATTCATTAAAAATATTTTAATATTTTTATTATCATTTCTTACATTTTAATTACCAACACCTTCTAATATTTCTTAATCCCATAATATAAAGAAAAAAAAAACCCTATAAAAAATATTAATTCAAATCAATTTTCACAAAGATAATTTTTTTTTTAGTTTGTTCTAGACCAAAAACTCTTGTTTGGATTACGAATGTATCAAAACATCCTCAGTAAATAACAGTTATCACAAAAATTATTTAAATATTTTTACGTTTTAAATTGCTTGTAATTCAAACTAAAATAGATATTTTTGCTCATAAAATCTAGCAGATTTATTTTTTAAGCAAAAAGTACAAGAGTGATATCTTCAACCACATGTGAGAGAAGAAGATTTTGATGGACCCATATTATACTTATAGGGGTTTTTTTTTTTTTTTTTTTTATATAAAGGCAATTATTAGAGGTTAATATGTTAAAGGTGTTAGTAGGGGTATTGAATCCAGGACTTGAGAGTGCAAACCACGAGTTGCACTTTGGGGCAGTAAGTGGCTATTGAACCACAGCACGTGGAATGCTATTTAGGACTTATTTGCTTGTTTACAGTGGATTTTTTTATTAAATTATAAAAATAAATTAAAATTAAATAACTGATAAAATAGAATTAACCTATCAAATTTAATGGTTCGTCACTAAGTCTAAAAAAAAATTGTTGTCAATAACCTAAATAATTAGTAGTTATCTTCTTTTGTACTAGAAATAAAAGGCTTTGAATTCAAATTACATAATATGCGGATGAAATGTGATAAAAAATGTGAGATAATTATCTTTTTTATACAATTAATACAAAAAAAAGGTTAAAATAATTAATTTTTTTT